GCCTAAAACGGCGCCGAGGAGCGGAGTGGCATTCCCTCCGCTCCCCACTCCGACACCCCTGCCGGGCCCCTCCGCACCTGCCCCCTCCAACGAGGGTTGGCAGGAGGCGAGGGGCTCCAAGAAGTCCCGAAGGCGGGCCAAAAAGGCTGCCAAAAAAGCAGCCCAAGCCCAGCCTTCGCCACCGGTGGCAACGGCCTCCACAAAGAGGCCGCGGAAGCTGCAGCCGCCCAAAACCGCGGCTGTAGTGGTGACCGTGTCCCCGGAGGCGGCGGACGGCGGGCTGTCCTACGCGGCCGTCTTCAAAAAGGCCCGGGACAGCCTCGCCAACGATTTCGGAACGGTGGGGGTCAGAATGCGCCTCGCCCAGACGGGAGCTCGAGTCCTCGAGTTCCCTGGGGCTGAAGGCGCTAAGACGGCGGACACATTTGCCGAGAAGCTGCGGGGACTCTTTACAGCCACGGATGGTGTAAAGATCGCCAGGCCTACTAAGTGCGCAGAGCTGCGCATCTCGGGCCTGGACGACTCTGTGACGGCCGAAGATGTCCGCGCTGTAATCCGGGAGAAGACGGGGTGCAGCGCGGACAACGTCAGGGTCGGCACCATCCGCCCCGGTCCAGGAGGGCTTGGCGCCGTGTGGGTCAGCTGTCCCGTAGCGTCGGCCAAAGTATTGGCCGACGCCGGCAGGCTGCTCATCGGTTTCGTGAGCGCCAGGATCACAGTCCTGGCGGCGAGACCGATGAGATGCTACAAATGCCTAGCATCGGGACACACGCGCGTCAAGTGCGACAGTTGTTTTGACTGCGGCGGACTGTGTTTCCGCTGCGGTCAACCGGGGCATAAGGCGGCAGAATGCTCTGCCGCCCCTCACTGCCCAGTGTGTGCGGCGGGCAATAAGCCCGCCAATCACCAGATGGGGCAGAGAGGCTGCAAGCCTCCCCGCAGTTCTCGGCAGACGTCGGGGGTTAGCCAGTCGACCCAGGCTGCCTCCGATGTAGTTCGTGCGTCGACGTCGTCGCCCATGGAGGAGGTTGTAGAGACGATCCAGTAATGGATCAAGTCTCCAACCTCCTGGTCCAGACGAACCTGAACCACTGTGCCGCGGCGCAGGATCTCTTCCTGCAAACCATGGCACAGTGGTCGATAGGTGTTGCCGTAGTCGCGGAGCCCTATTCTGTCCCTCCCCGTCCAAACTGGATGGGTGACTGGGACGGCTCCGTGGCAGTCGTCGGTTCCACGACGGCTCATTCCCCGCCCTTGTCGCTAAGAGACAAGGGCACTGGATATGTTGCCGTCGAGTGGGGGGGGATCATCATATATGGTGTCTATTTCTCCCCCAACCGGAGTTTGAACGACTTCGAGGTTTTCCTAACCAGCTTGGAGACCTCGATACGGCGACTAGCGTCTGGGCACGTCCTTGTGCTGGGGGACTTCAACGCAAAGTCCATTGCGTGGGGTTCCCCCAGGACGGACGCCAGGGGCGAGGCCGTAGAGGAGTGGGCGGCCTCGGTGGGCCTCTGTCTTCTAAACAGAGGCTCCACCAACACGTACGTGCGACAGCAGGGGGGGTCGATAGTGGACCTCTCGTTCGCTACCCCTGCCCTCGCCGCACGAGTAAGGAACTGGCGTGTCCTGGAAGAGGTTGAGACGCTCTCGGATCACCTGTATATCCGATTTGAGCTCTCCCGGACCCAGGACTCCAGTAGGGGTCACGTGGCGCGGCGTTTATCCCGCTTTCCGCGGTGGGCTGTTGCCAGGCTGAACCGGGACCTACTAGAGGAGGCAGCCATAATTCACTCGTGGCTGTCTCCTCAGGCTCCGACCGAGGAGGTCGACGTGGGGGCTGGCCGCTTTCGCGATGCGATTACGCATGTATGCGATGCGGCCATGCCCCGCGTTCGAGGTCGTCGGCCTCCAAGGAAGGAGGTCTACTGGTGGTCCCAGGAGCTGGCGGACCTCCGTGCGGCCTGTACACGTGCCCGGAGGTCCTACACGCGCAGTCGGCGGCGTCACCGTGGAGACGGTGAGGAGGACCGGCTTCATGAGGAGTACCGACGGGCGCGGAAAACTCTGAAGCTGGCCATTAGCCGCGCCAAAGAAGAAAAAAGACAGGAGATGCTGGAGGGTCTTAATCGTGACCCCTGGGGTCGCCCTTACCGCGCGGTGCGACAAAAGCTCCGCGCGTCGGGCCCCCCCCTTACGGAGACTCTCCAGCCCAGCTTCCTGCGAGAAGTGGTTGAGGGCCTTTTCCCACAACGGGCGGAACACACTCCCCCGTCGATGGCCTCCTTGGCCGGAGACGACGGGGAGCACGGGGAGGACAATGTTCCGCCCGTCCGGGAATCGGAGGTAGGGGCGGCTGTTCTACGGATCCGTTCCAGGAACACCGCCCCTGGGCCAGACGGGGTACCGGCCCGAGTGCTGGCCCTGGCCCTCAACCACATGGCAGACCGCCTCGGGGAGGTGTTCGACGCTAGCTTGGCGTCGGGACGCTTCCCTGAGTGCTGGAAGAGCGGGAAGCTGGTCCTATTGAGGAAGCCGGGACGGCCTGCCGATTCGGTCGCGGCCTATAGGCCCATCGTGCTGCTGGACGAGGCGGGCAAATTGTTTGAGAGGGTTCTTTCTGCCCGCATCGTCCGGCACCTCTGCGAGGTGGGCCCCGATCTGTCGGACGCCCAATTTGGTTTTCGGGCGGGGCGTTCGACAGTCGACGCCGTGTTGCGCCTGAGGGCCGTGACCGAAGAGGCCGTGAGCTGTGGCGGCGTGCTGTTGGCGGTGTCATTGGACATCGCCAACGCATTCAATAGTCTGCCATTCAGCTGCATCAGGGAAGCACTCCACTATCATGGGGTGCCAAAGTACCTGAGGCGGCTAGTGGCAGACTATTTAGAGGAGCGTACCGTCGTGTACGAGGACCGAGAAGGTAATCTGAGGTGTCGGCCCATGTCGTGCGGTGTTCCACAGGGGTCTGTTCTTGGACCCCTCTTGTGGAACATAGGGTACGACTGGGCCCTTCGCGCCGATTTCCCCCCCGGGCTGGGTGTAATCTGTTACGCAGACGATACCCTCGTGACAGCCCGGGGGGCAAACTTCCAAGAGGCGGCGCGCCTGGCCACAGGGGGAGTCTCCCTGGTGGTCGGGCGCATTGAGGCGCTGGGCTTACGGGTGGCCCTAGATAAGACGGAGGCCCTGTTATTCCATGGGCCCCGTCGTGGTCCACCCCCTGGCGCCTCAATCGTGGTCAACTCGGTCCTCGTACCGGTTCGGGCCCAGATGAAATATCTGGGCCTGATCCTCGACGGGAGGTGGCTCTTCGACGAGCACTTCCGACAGCTTGCTCCAAAGCTGGTCGGCGCTGCGTCTGCCCTAGGGCGACTTTTGCCCAATATGGGTGGACCCAGCGTCGCGACAAGACGGCTGTACACGGGGGTTGTCCGGTCAATGGCACTGTACGGTGCACCGGTGTGGGCGGCGGCTCTGACCGCCCAGAATAGGGTACGCCTCTGGCGCCCTCAGAGGGTAATGGCGGTCAGAGCCATACGCGGTTACCGCACCGTTTCGACGGATGTGGCGTGCGCGTTGGCCGGAACTCCCCCGTGGGATTTGGAGGCGGAAGTGCTCGCCGAAGTTTATCGGCGAGTGGCTGACTACCGGGCGGAGAGCGGATTTCGCCCTCCGCCCGAGGATGTGCGCGAGTGGCGCGAAGCCGCTCGCCGAGCCACGATGGCTCGTTGGTCGTTCCGGCTGGAGACTCCACGCGCTGGCTTCGCCGCCGTGGAGGCTCTCCAGCCGGTCATCGCCGAGTGGGCAGGGCGGCAGCACGGGACCCTTTCCTTCCGACTGACGCAGGTGCTTTCCGGGCACGGTTGCTTCGGAAAGTACCTGCACACGGTCGCTAGGAGGGAACTGAGTCCCGCCTGCCACCACTGCGACTGCAGTGAGGACTCGGCCCAGCACACGCTGGCTGTCTGCCCCGCATGGGCGGCGCAGCGCCGGGCCCTCACTGCAGTCATCGGAGTGGATCTCTCGCTACCGGCCGTAGTACGCTCCATGGCCGGTAGCGACAGTTGTTTTACCGCGGTCGCAACCTTCTGCGAGGTAGTAATCTCGCGGAAGGAGGCGGCGGAGAGGGCCCGGGAGGACGACCTCCACTCGGACCCGATCCGTCGCCGGCGAACCGGGCGGCGGAGGCCCGCCTACCACAGCCTCATGCCGCCCTGAGTGTGGCCGCGGGTGGACGGGGTGGGTTTCCCCTCCACCCGCATTAGTTGGCCAGCCGCGAGGGGGCGGCGTCCGCGTGTGCCGGACGTCGCCTAAAGAGAGGAACATCCACATTGAGACGGAGCCCGCACCAGGAGCGGGCTGGCGCTAGGAGGGGTCCGGATGTCTTAACAACAGCTGTTCCCGGATCCCTCCTGTTACAGGCGCAGAGTGGCACACCGTGTGGTTTTAGTCGGTCCGAGTCCGACACACCACCCCGCCGCAAACCCCGGAGGGGTGACGGTCCGAGGGGATTTCCACACGTTAAAAAAAAAAAAAAAAAAAGGGTGTGTTTCAAGATTTCCTTCTCTTGCAGCAGTGCTGTTGTCCTGCGTAGTTCGTTCCCTTAGTCGCCTGTTACGACACCCACGGGATGAATAGGGGTGGTAACACTTCGTATTCTTAATCCGTCGCGTCCGTCTATTAAGTCCTCCAGGCTAATTAATACTAATTACTGATTCCTCAGCTTTTATGTGTTTCCATCACCTCTTCTTTTCATTGAAAGAACTTTCATAGCCTGTTTGAATTCACACAACTTTTTGATTCATTTCGTGTCTACATTAGGAGGTTGATTATTATTTACCTGTTATATTGACTTAGTTCGCAATGGATAACTCACTGCAATTAACGCCGATATATCTGTTTAGTATAAAACGTAGTGTTTTGTTTGACTTAACAGCTAACTATCTAAAAGTTATATTTGGCATTGTATGTATACTAAGTACTGTGTTTTTCTTCCTCAGGATGGTTTCGTATTAGTCGGTTCAGTGGCTGGTCAGCGGTACTGGTCGTCCATGTTGTCGCTAGATGCTCGTATTACTTGTGGGTGCTGGACGCCAGACGACAACCAGGTATACCTCGGTACTGCATCTGCGCAATTGGTTGTCATGGATGTACATGGAGCCATGGTGTCACAAGTAAGCATTTTGATGTAAAATAATAATTATAGCTACTGAAAATTAGGAAAAAACAAAAAAGAAAAATATTCTATTGGTATTACTAGCGTTGAACTATTACAATCACAACGCTACCAATAACTAAAGCAAATTGCAAAAGACATTAATACAAATAAAACTCCTTTCACAGGAAAAATGTACTTGTCAGGTATGGTGGAGCGCAAACGATAAACAGCTTTAAGAGAATGGTTCAGGAATTTTATGAATTTTGATTAAGTCAATTACGCGTCAAGGCATGATAACAATGTGCCTTTTTTTTTGTCTCTTTTACGTGATATACTTAACTAGCTATGTATATATAAGTATATGTATATGTATGTATATATGTATATGTATGTATATTGTATATGTGTTTTATGTGTAAATATTTATTTAATTTTACCATTGAATCTTCAACTACTACAGTCTCTCCAAAACATTTTTAATCCATCCTAAGGTTGCCTGGAAGAGATTGTTCTTAGCAATAAGGCCGCCCTTTTGTACATTACATGTCTGATATTTTTATGTACTTATAATACTTGTAAAATGTGTGCAAATAAAGAGTTATCTATCTATCTTATCTATCTATCTATTTACTCAATATTATTAAAGCGATACCTTGCAAGGTATGCGATACGTCTACCAGTTTCCTAATTAAAATCACTTTACCTGCATGTATGAAAGGTTATATGATAAAATTTCTAATGTGATAGCGAAGGGCCAAGGCAGGAGAAGTTGTAAAGAACGAATTGTATTTCCAAAGGGTCTAAATCTTTGTAACACTTGCCGCAAAACTACGATATCGTAGAGCTGCAGAAAGCATTTTACTTAAAAGTTTAATTTCAGGACGTAGATCCTCTACGATATTTTAGAGTCGATTGCGATGTGAACATAATGCGATACGAACAAAAGAAATTTATTTGTGTTATTAAAAGGTGTTTGCTCTGACCCGAACTGCAGTATGTGTTTTTAATTATTAATTATTGCTGTCTTTTGTTATTATTGTCTTTTGTAAAGTTCTCCGCGAGACTCGAACACGATTTACCTGTTGATTAATTGAACAAATGCACACAAATAATTGTTCTAAGTCTGAATAACTGGGTACGCATAAAACAAGTTTTTTTTTATAACTAAAATAACTAAATCTCAGTTTCTAAAACAGTCATACTCGGTCTGCAGGTTCAACTAGTTGCAGAAGGAGGTATCACATCGATGGCGTGGTCGTGCGAAAAGTTCAAAATGGAGGAAGGCGAAGAGGGAGGAGAAAATAACGGCGGTCACGTCTTAGCTGTTGCACTAGGAAATGGCGAGATTGTATTATTGAGAGGGCATGATGACGTCAGTCCTGTGAGGGTTAAGACCGGGCTGAGAGGTACCACACTTGCCATGGAGTGGGCTAACTCCAGGGAATTATTAGCGGTGGCTGGAACTTTGTTACCTGGTGAGTTTCAATTAAATATCATTATATTAGATATCTTACGATGGTAAATACTTTTTTTTCAAGTAGTTGTTGCCCTACAATTTCCCTTTTTTTATACAATTTGTTTTTTTAATACGTCTTTATTCCCAATTGAGTAGATAAACCTATTGACGTCTATCGGCACACTACTACGATATTTGTGACAATAAAATCATCGGCCTTTGAATGTAGTTAGGAGATCGTGATCAAACGCGAACCACCAGCCGCGATCAACATCCCATACTAAACTTAAAAGATGGTGCAAGTAGGGATACGCAAAAAGTATAGATACGATAGGGTATCGATACTTTTCTTCCGATACCAAGTACTAATGGAATCGATACTTATGTTCCGATACTTTTGAGGTATCGATACTTTCTAAAAGTACCGATACTTTCCTTCTCCCCTTTTCCAATAAATTATTGGCTTAAAAAAAAGAAAAAAATGTAGTGATGCGAGCGCCGTCATATTGGCCTTTGCCGCTCGGCGGGCTGTAGGTAATGCGACATGCGATAGCTGGACGAGAAAATTTACGGCGATGGATAATCTGTGTTTTGTCAGTTCCTTAGTTATAGGAAAGTGCTTCTCTGACATATTCGTGAAATAACAAGTAACACCACTAAGGGACCTAAAGATCTCAGTTGTAGAGAAGGTGCCTACCGTACGACATTATTCTTTCGCTTTGGTCTCGTCTTGCTTTGAATAAAAACGTTTAATATATTACTCGTTATTGTATATAAAGTTACATCAATCTCACAAAGATGCCGCCGCCAAGAGAAACATCATCATCAATCATCAACAGCCTATACTAGTCCACTGCTGGACATAGGCCTCTCCTAAAGAAAAAGAAACAAAAAACATGTTTCTCCTCTCTAAGAGAAACATGCGAAATGTAAAAGTATTTAAAAAAATCACAGCTTCGTGTAAAATTTGTTTCAAAATACTGAAAACAATTGGGAACGGGGAGTAGTTTTTCTTGCAAAACTTAGCAACACAAACAACGCTTCGTTCAGGTTCTTCTATAAATGTATTAAAAAATACTCGATACCTTCAGGTATCGATATTTTTTTCCTATAATTTTTTGGTATCGATACTTTTGAAATTTTGCGTATCCCTAGGATCAAAAATAAATTTAGGTATCACTTATCATATATGTAGTCTTAAAAATGCAAAAAATAATCGAATAATAATAATATACAGATATAAAGAAATAATAATAATATACATAAACTCTTAAAGAAATATAATATAGAGCTAGAGTTATCATAATATTACATGTATAGCAAAAACTAGACTACTTAACTTGCAATGTAACACTACATTTAAATAGATTCTATTAAATGGTATATTGATAAATGGATGTGTTCAATCGGGTTATTCTTTCGGTTTGATAAACGACACACTTGTGTGGGTTAGGGCCTTTTCAATTCAGCGCTGAGTACATTTAATAAATGCTGCCATTTATACGTTATAGATTAATACATTAACACATATTTTTTTTAACCGCCTTGAAATAGGAGGAGGTTATCAATTCGGATGATTATATACTTTTTATGTATGTTCGGGCATAATTCCGTCAAATATAGATGGATTTGTAAATTCTTTTTTGGTCAATAAAGGTTTATTCCGAAATTGTCCCGTTTAAATTTTATATGGATCTGATGATGCGTGTCCAAGACTGACATAACATCACGCCTGCATACTCGAAAGGGTAACCCAGATATATTCAGTCTATCAGGGTCCACCCACACGTTCTATCTAAGTTATGCATATTTTTTTGAGACTGGAAGCTAGTTAAATTTTAAGTGGTCTTTGTTAGTATTGTTTAAAGTCGAACTATAAAAAAAAGGATTTATTTATATATTAATTATGCATGCACAACACCCATAGATGTGATTTTTTTTTTTGTCATATCGTAGATCATCGCCTTAATAAAACTAGAAACGAATGCACTCGGACGCATTTACGCATTCAAACATCTGCATTGTACGAGTAGTGTCTCAAAATACCTTCATACTTAAAGAATTACACTGGCTGGTTTTTCAATGTAATAATTCGGGTAAGAGTATTAGTTTAAAAAAAATACTTTGGAAGAAATCGAGTCGATTTTTTTTCACCTTCATCGAAAAAAAAACTGGGAATTCTTTTTTAATGCAAAAACAAAAAATGAGCAGTTGTAGTGTAAGAAAAAAAGGAAGAAAATGAGAGTTACTAAAGTCAAATTAGTTTGAAACTTTACGAGAAAACGCGCTATTATCTCGACAAAATCGCGATTTTTCACCCTTCATTTTCTCAGCTTATGTGACTCGTAAGAAATCCGTTCGGGGCTTCAATTATAACTTCTAATACTGTTCCTTTATAAAAAAAAATGTAGTTGCAAAATAATATTAAGTTGCCACACGATTTGCGAAAATGTAAAAATAGGTGCTTCGGAAAAACCGTGCGCGATCGGTAAGAAAGCAAGTTAAGAGTTGCTTCACAACCTTTGCATAATTATAAATCTCCCAGATGCATGACAGAGTCGTTAAACGCAAAGAAAATCGAGCGCTAATATACTGAGAAAATGAAGGGCGAAAAATCGCGATTTTTCGTGTGCGTGTATTCTCGTAAAGTATCTAACGAATTTGACTTCAGCAACTGTCATTTTCTTCATTTTTTTCACACCACAACCTCCCACTGTTTTGTTTTTTCCATTAAAATTGTTTTCCCTGTTTCTATTTAAATATACCGATTTTTCCACCTAATGGTTTTTTTTCAATAATCTGCCACAAATCGATTTTTTCCAAAGTATATTTTTAAAAATATGCTTTTACCCGAATTATCGTTGAAAAACCAGCCAGTTTATTTATTTTTTTCGATCTGAACATACTCTACTGAGTGATAATTAATCGACACTGCGACGTAGCTGACGGTTCTCTGCTGCCGCGCCCCATATGTGCTTAGGTGGATTCCTAATCTAATTGTATTAAATATAATGGTACTTAGTGGGTAACTTTATTCGTCCGATTTTTCCTAGGCAGCTTGTACATTTGTTAATCTTGGCATTATTGCCATGTTATCTATTAAATAATTTTACTTTTGATGATGTATCGTTGTTGCGGTGAAATTAACTATGTTTTTAATTGTTATTGTAGACGGAAGATCCAATTAAGGCGAAAGTAATTTATGTTCTCAAATATCTGATTTTGGGAGCTTGTACCGATTCCTACGTTTAATCCGTTTTTCTATCTATTGCTGTTACAGAACCAGACGAGCCGCCTGATTCGCCTCCGTACAAAAATGTAGTTAAGTTTTATTCGGACACTGGAGCTCTTATCTACACCGTTTTCATACCATACACACAGGTCAGTTATTCGAATCACACTACATTTATCAGAAACCATGCTTTATAATTCATAGAAGTAATCGCCGCACAATATCAGATAATTATTATAACTGCACACATCAAACACACGGCCGTCTGATTCCAAATTAGGCAAAGCCTTTACTATGGTAGGTAGCCAGACTAATAAAACATACCTACCTTTATAATATTAAATATATATTATAGATAAATTGCACGAGGTACAGAACAAAACGACGGGCTCATCACACAATTATTTGTCCTGAGTGAGTATCGAACACACGAACTCTGCCTTGTTAGTCGGAATCTAGACCACCGAGACAGTCAGGCACCTAAGTATTATGTACCTACATATATAAACTTATTCCAATAATTAAAAAAATGATAAAGACATCGTGTCTCGCTGTTATTAACGCCATTTAAATCATTTAATTTTTAAATATTTTTTTCATTTTACATCATCTAGGCTCGAGTGACGGCCCTGACATGGGGTCATGCAGCACGTCGTCTCTTCGTTGGGGTAGGCGGAGCTGTGTGCACCGCGCGTGTGTGGCGTGTTGTTGCTCCATTGCAGTTATTAGCTCGGGTCCGAGCCGCCCAAGCCCTGAGAGACCCCAGACTGGCTTCGAGACTACCGCTACCGCCGAGACTACAACCCGCGCTAGCTAATCTCTTCGCTCATACTATACGGGTACCTACGTATACTACGCTATACAACCAGAAATAAGTCCTTTGGAAACAAATTAAGTTAGAAATAGATAAGTGACCATGGTTTTATGGTTAGCACCAGTTCTTAATGATGTTTTAATTATACGGAGGTTAATTGTGCTAATAATAATAATAATAATAATAACTTCACACATCTCACACACGGCTATCTGATCCCAAACTAGGCAGAGCCTGTACTATGGTAACCAGACCGCTGATAAACATACTTATATATTTTTAAATACATACATATTATAGATAAATTACACCCAGACACAGAACAAATGACCGTGCTCATCACACAATATTTGTCCTGGGTGGGAATCGAACCCACGACCTCCGGCTTAGCAGTCAGGGCCACTAACCACTAGACCAACAGGCCCGTCGTGATAATGATAATGACATGCTCTTGTCGTGCTCATGTCGTGATAATGATAATGACTTGATAATGACATGCTCTTTCATAAAGAATTATTAATGTTAAGGAATTATTGCGTTTAAAAACTCTATCAACAAAACAGTTTTTATAAATAATAATTCGCGCACAATTTAACGTCCTGTAAATAATTCAAATCCAATTATCCTTTGGAAATTTGGAAGTGACATGGACAGTTTTAGGGTTCCGTACCTCAAAAGGTAAAAAGGAACCCTTATAAGATCACTTTCTTGTCCGTCTGTCCGTGTGTCACCACCGAGTTTCTCAGGAACGGGTGGACCTAGCAAGTTGAAATTTATACCAGATACTGAGGTCTATGGTCCCTATTGGGTGCATAAAAATCAAGGTCCTGAGTCAACACGATAAAAAGATATGGGCAAATTTCGATTTTCGAGAAAACTTGTAAGTACCAAAATTTACCTTAATTATCAACTTTTTTTATTTTTTAGAATTTAAAAGAATACTTGTGCTGTAAGACCTTGCTTTTAACCAAAATTGACAATTCTAGGTCAACCGGAAGGACCCTATAGGTTTTGAGTCGAAAACCTATATGGTTGTTCCCGTTGACCTAGAATCACGAAATTTGGCAAAAAGAAACGTCTTATAGCACAAATAAAGGTATAATTCCACAAAATAAAAACATTTGAAAATTAAGATAAATTTTGGTACTTACAAATTTTCGCGAAAATCTACGTAAAATCTGGGTAGGTAGGTACGAAACCCTCGGCGCACGAGTTCAACTCGTACGTGAACGGTTTTTTTACTAATGTGGAGAATTTAAAAAATATTGTACACTATTTTTTTTTCGTATTTACTAACGACCTACATGATAAATTTCAGTTCAAATAAAATTCGAATACCAAAAGATGGATTGTACTAACGGTTCACAGAGAACGTGTCGCTCATAAGTGCATATTTAAACGTATTTTTAACCATAAAATATACCGTTTTAGGACAAGTCAACGATCATGAAGTCAAATTAGTCTAGTAGAGAACAAACCACTAGGTACCTAAAAAAATAAAATAAAATCAAAAAGCAAACCATTTAATGAACTTATGATATTGGTGTTCTAGTGCAACGTGCCAGAAACCAACGAGCTTCGTCGCTTCGTTTCACGGCCTCCTGTCGCCGGTGGTCGTTTGCATTGCACAATGCTACGTCATGATGATGAAGAGGCTGGTGCTTACACACTTTACCTTGAACATCTCGGAGGACTCGTCCCTCTGCTGAAAGGACGTAGAACAAGCAAGATACGGCCCGAATTTGTTATATTTGATCCACAAGCTGAAGGTGTGTAGAGTTTTATTTTAAGTCTTAGTTTTTATGACATCTTCTCACCATCAAAAGATTTGTATTTTGCACAAGTTAAACATCAAGACTTTGGTATGACTTTGGGCAAATAGGTATGCTGTTATAGGGTATTGTTAAATTTCTGACTGTTTCCTTCAAATTATTTTTTCTAGCTATCCATTTAGAAAATTTCTGAGAAAGTTTTGCTTAAATAAATCATTGAGAAACGCTGCAGCTAACAGGCATGCTTGTGGTTCGTTTATCGAAATAACAGCAAAACAAGGTGCACAGTTTCTTTTTTTGGTAAAAACCTCTGTAAACAATGAATAATAATTTTAGTGGAGCAAGTGACAAGTTCAATAGTGGTCCGAGCGAGCAGCAGCAGCAGCAGTGGCGCGGGAAGCTCTTCGAGCGGCGGCGGTACTTCACCCCGCACGCCCCGCACTCGTCCCGCGCGCACTCCGCCCGACTACATACACCCACACACATCGTCCTCCGACACTGAGCGGGAGGAAGGTACGTCACAACACAGAAATTATAATAGTATTTTTTCACTAGCTGGTACCCGCGACTTCGTTCGCGTGGAGTTTGAAAAGGCACGCGGGCGGAATTTTCAAGGGTGCGGCAAAAACAGAAATTGAAACGAAAACGAAACTATTTCATAATTTGCATATCTAATGTATTTTTATCTCATCTATTAACAAAAATAAATGCAACTGTTTATAGGCAAATTACTTTATTCAACGTAAGTATGTATAATTTGAATCACTTAAGATGCGGGCGCGGGGTTCCCAAACATCCTATACCGGGCGAAAGTCTTATGTTCGGGATATAATGGGGCGTCTTAATTCTGGCACGCTGTTATTGCGACGGTAAGACGCGTTATGGAGGATTGGCTCGATAGGAAACACAGGACCCTCTGATATTGGCTGATGCAAAAGATGCTTTATAAGTCACCTGTGTCTGATCCGCAAAGAGCCAATACTCGAGTGCTGCCACTAGGATGGCCAAGGCGTGGTCATGACGTTTAACACGCTGCCAGAATGTCCAGTGTGTATGGAGCAGAGGCATGACCTACCTGGTGACCGATTGCGACCACGACAAACTCCTCCTGCGGGGCGACGTGGTACCGGGAGGGACTTAGAACCCTCTCCCGGCTCACCAGGCCCGGGAACGGACCTGGTCCTGGTGCTGGTGGCTGAATTATCTTCGTCTTTCATAGCGCCGGGAGCGACGACGAACCCGAACAGCAAGAGCTGCTAATAATTCTAAATCCCAATCAATCAGAACGACGCAACCAACTTTGTATCATGCAGACGAAACTGATTGAAAAAAAACATAAAAACATAACGTAACAGGAGATTTGTACAACAATGCTCTCATTGCTCTTAGAGTTGCCAGGTCCCACTACAGAGCTGCTGTGGAAAAATCCAAGGGAAACTTAATTCAGAAACTTGTTGATAAACTCGATTGAGAGGGCCCGTGGTCACCTTTGTATCACGAATTTAAGGCAAATAGATCAATCGACCTTGCATACATACAGAACATCAAAATTAATAACAGATATACTACAGGAGTAGAACAAACAGCAGAATATCTTTTAGACTCACTCGTACCTGACGATCGACCGGAAAACGACACTGATCATCACCGACAGATCAGGCAGTGGGCCATCGAACCACCACCGTCTCCAATGTCTGATTTACCATCTTCAGACGAATTTCTCGGTATCATTAGATCCTTGCCGCTAAACAAGGCTTCGGGCGATGATAAAATATCTAACAAAATGATAAAAGAAGCTTGTAAACTTTCGGGTGACACGATTTTCACTGTCTTTAAACGTTGCATTGCTGAAGGAATATTTCCTCGTATATGGCGGTGCGGTAATATTCGTATAATACCAAAAAGTGGCGACAAGCCACCGGATGATCCTAAATCCTACCGACCAATCACATTATTACCATCGTTAGGAAAGCTTTTAGAACGTCTTGTAGTGCCCCGGCTTCTGCCAGGTGGAGTCAAATTTCATGATAGACAATTTGGATTTACGTTGGGTAAATCGACAACTGACGCTGTTATATCGGTTAGAAAGTTTGTCACAGAGTCAAAATTTCAATACGTGCTGGCTATTTTCTTAGATATATCTGACGCCTTCGACAACGCATGGTGGCCCATGCTGTTGCTGAAATTAAAATCACGGGGGTGCTTCAAAAATATTTATTCCCTTATCTCTTCGTACTTTTCACAAGGTACAACTAAACTAAGACTTGGTCATCATTCTGTGTCGAAGGCGCTTACAATGGGATGTCCTCAGGGATCGGTGCTAGGTCCATACTTGTGGAATATCGGCTTCGACGATTTTCTTGCGATACCAATACCATCCGGATGTACTCTGAACGCGTATGCTGATGACGGCTTATTACTGGTGGAATCTGATACTAGGGCGGGGCTTGAGAGATTAGCCAATAGATGTTTGAACTTGATATCTCAATGGGGTGAACGTAATCGCTTAACTTTTGCACCCAACAAAACCTTCCAGCTACTTTTAAAAGGTAACCTCAAATCACCGCCGAGCATTAGATTTGACAATGTTACTGTAAAAAATAAAACTACAGTGTGTTATCTAGGATTAGTTTTAGAAAGAAACTTTTCATTTATCGAACATATTAAAATAGTTAATGAAAAGTCTAAAAAGAGTTTCTGTGCATTGACAAGGATATCAACTGCGACATGGGGTCTATCATTTAATACATTAAAGATCATATACGGAGCTACTTATTTAGGTTCTATGTGCTATGGTGCACCTGTATGGGCCGATAGGGCGACCGTAGGCGCTGTCCGTCGCAAACTGTTACAAGGCCAACGACTTGCACTGATATTCTTGTGTAAGGCATATAGGACGGTTAGCACTGAGGCTTTGCCGGTGTTGGCGGGTGTGCTTCCGGTCGATCTCGAGGTGCAGAGACGTGCAGCCATGTACTATTCAAGACAACAAAACATGGAATGCGATTTTTTGGGCGCGCGGGATCGCGGTAAAATTACAAGATTGCTTCAACAGCAGCCCGATGTCTATAACGACCTCATAGACGAATGGCAACAACGCTGGGATGAATCATCCAAGGGGCGCCATCTTTACCAATTCTTTCCATCTGTTCGCGAACGGTTGTCGAGGATATGGCTTGAGGTGGATCACTGTGTCGCTCAATTTCTTACGGGTCATGGTAACTTTAAGAGCAAGCTTTATTCATTTAAATTAGTCGAGTCACCATTGTGTCAATGCTCAACACCTAACTCTCACTATGAACAGTCTGCTCATCATATCCTCTGGGAATGTAGTCTTTGGTATAATGAACGTAATATAATGCTGAATAGCTTGCAGGTGACATCTGGGGCGGTATACTATGGGGATCTTGTGTCAACTAGGGTGAATTTCCGTGCGTTTAGGCGATTCTGCCATACATATTATAGAAATCAAACATAGCTCACGTAGGACCCGTAATATTTGTGGCCGTGGTGCTTCCCTGTTTAAAAGGGTGTATGCCCATTTTACTTCATTTTGTCTCCCGCTTTGCTAAGGAGGGAAGTGGATTTACTGTATTTCCAACTCCTCCAATTTTCTTCTGATTAATTTCGTTGCGGGTTCCAAGACAGTTTAATTTCTTCCTGGGACTTCCCGAGTGTCATAGCTCGGTGTGTTCGTGGGTCACTGCTGTGGATCCTGGTGTACAGGAGTTACAGTGGTGGGCGTGTGGGTGGGATTAGTCCCATGAAAAAAAAAAAAAAAAAAAAAAAAAAAAAAAAAAAAGACGAAACTGATTGACTGACTCCCGCCCTTGACTCCGAGGGAGGTTGGCTATACCCCTTTTTTTTCCGTGCGGAAATACCCTCGGATACCACCTATCGGTGGCATGTCGGACTCGAACCGACTAAAACCGCACACCGTCTCGGGTACTAATAGCCGGGGAACCAAGTATACCCTAGAAAGGTAGTCCCTGGTGCCCCGACATACCTCGGGCCATTTACAACAACAGGTAGACGACCCCCCCCCCCCCCCCCCCCCCGTGTTCGAACCCCATGTTCCCTCTGCTCCCTGGAAGCGAGCGCGCTTCGCAACGCGCTCGCCGACACCCCGGCCTGCTTCTGCTAGGCTGACACATGGCCTCACCTGTCACCCCCAGGCCTGCGCTTATGGAGGACGGAGGTCGATATGATTATATCAAAATTAAGTAATGTGATTTCTAAACTCATTGAAATTAGGATAAAAAAAACTTGATCCGAATTTAAATTCATAACCACCCCACCGGCTGTCCGGTGGGCGGTATCCGAAGGGCGATTTCCGCACGGAAAAAAGGGCGGCTTCATCGGTATTGCACGTGGGCGCTCGAATAGCTAGCGGCGGCGCTGCGCTGCCTTAATGGTGTACTACGGCACTTAAGGCCTCGGGTTCGATTATCGGATCGGACAAAATTTTATAGGGTTTTTCTGTGAGGATATATCCTTTTATAAAAAAATTTAACCGACTTCTAACAATACTAACGAAGAACACTAAAAACCGGGCAGCAATCGCGGTTGATTTGCTGTCATTTTTTGAAGAGTTCCGTTGTCTGAAAAGCAAGATGATCGTTTTATAGGTTGTTCTGGATCACCGAGACTGCAGAGACGTAGACGAGCCAGGGAGAGACGAAAGGTACGAAGCACTACAGAAAAGGACGAACCGCCTGACGAACTTGCTTATATAGACTCCTTACCTGAGGTATGGTCGACAAATTTACACAGTCATTGTAAATGTAGTCCATATTTAAACACATCACTCAATCATACCATGCCATGTTTAATATTACGCACAGTATTGTGGTCGTACGGACATTTACTTATAATTAGACACCAAATAAAATCGGGATAAGGGTAGGCAGATGATGATGCCGAGCTTATTTATCATGACAAATGAAATCTATAGAGTAGGTACATTCTATTCTCGCAATATACTTTTATAGATATGTTATCCACACACAATATTTGATAATCATCATCATCATCATCAACAACAGCCTTTACTAGTCCACTGCTGGACATAGGCCTCTCCTTAGGAAGGAGGTTTTTATATTTGATAATAAATTACTTAATTAATTTGGGCCTGCTGAACTATAAGTGGATAACGGTCCTGACGCTAAGCCATAGATCTTGGGTTAGATTTCCAATCAGGGCAAATAATTGTGTGGCACGATCAGTTGTTCTGTGGCTGGGTATTATTTATCTATAATATGTACATATTTAGAAATATTTAAATTTGTTTATCAGCAGTCTGGTTACCGTGCCCAGACGGCTGTGTGTTAAATGTGTGAGGATACTATTATTACATATTATTACTAATAGTTGCAACTATTGTATAAAATTAACTCACCGCAGTAAAAGCGACATAATTATGATATTCAAATAATGTTTAATCAAATTGATTTTAAGAATCGTATTTTAATACATGTTTTTGTTGCAGGACGTCCGCTTAGTAGAAGTTACATCTAATATATGGGGCACTAAATTTAAAATGCATGGTTTAGCTAAAAATGTACCCGCTAATTTAGGACAAGTGACTTATAAGACCTCCTTGCTACATTTGCAACCAAGACAGATGACCCTTACGATAACAGAGCTTCGGGATGACTACCCTGTAGGTCCTGATCCGAATTTCAACCCTAACATATTTTCTGAAGACGAGGAAGAAGTATTCCAAACCAATGATATCAATAATTCTCCGTCTCACACTAATAATAATATACGTAGGAAGTTAACTCTAAATGAAAGAATGAATAACACAAACAATACTCTAAATCAAAATGAAAATTTCACAACTAATAATAACAATTCTAATGGACCGTCCCTGGCGAGAGCTGAGTCATATGATGAATTTCCTTTCATTGATACGAATGACACTGTAAATAACGTCACAGAAAGTGTATATTCAACACCACTAAGACATCCAGCCCAACCTACTGAAAGAAGGGTCAATAATCCCGCTGGAGTACCTAACCGTCACGCGATATCACCCCTGAGGTGTGAAAGTTCAGTTCCTACCTTACAGTCCCCTAAAAATGCTGTCGCGCCCACGGACATTATTTTCGAAAGGCCTTCTCCACAAACGGTCACATGTGGAGGAGGCCGTGGCGATTTCTGTGGAGGTAGAACTGACTATAGTGTTAGAGGCGATAACATGTCACTTAAAGGAAACTTATCTAACATAGAACAACAATCCTTTAACTTGAACTTAAGTCTTGAGCCGAGTAGGCAGGTTACCATTAAAAAGTGCGACAACCATATTACTGATAATTGCCTTTCGAAACTACGTAAAAATATTTGTAGTAGAGGCGAATCTGCTTCGTATGATATGAACACTAGGATTCTTAAATCGCTCTGCAACAAAAGTTACGAGCACGAGGTGCATCCTGATGCTTTCAGCAAAAGAGGTGATGCACTGAAACATCTTCAGAAAGCTGAGGATTTGAAGTACATAGACGAGGAGACTCCAGTAGATACGATTATTAACAATCTTACTGAAAAGGGTCGAGAAGTAAAGGTACAACGGACAACGACTGTCGTACCCATCAGCCCCGTCTGTGCCACCATACCTGTGTATGATACGATGACGCGGAGTTGCAGCGTTGGATACTTAGACCTCGTCGATCCTCAGGTGTTGCACGCTCAGGTTAGCCTCGCGGCTTTGCGCGGCGAACCACCCCGTAGGCTGGTACTCGTTAATAATAAACGTCATAAAAGACAGAAGCGACACGTTCGAACCGATATTAAACAGACTGAAACCGCAAAAACACCCTGTTTGAGAAGGTGTGGTAAGTCCAGGAGTTTAGATTCTAGTGAGATGTCGCTGACGGTGGATAGAAGTAAGAGGCAGACGCGGACGGAAACGACCACACCGAAAACTGATACAACTTCAGCGAATTCCAGTAGTAGGTGTAACAGTGGGGAGGAAAACAGTGGTACTAGCACCGAAGAAAACACGCGAAGATCGCGGCGCGACTATCCAGTGTGTACGTTGTGTCGCCTGGTGTCTCCGTACGACCGGCGCGACGTGGACGCGCGCACGTACGTGTGCGCCGCGTGTTCGCCGGCGCCTGCGCCCGCGCCTCCCCCCGCGCCGCTGCCGCGCGCCTCCGCCACCGACAGCGATTCCGACTACAGCAAGTATTATAGTTAGTACGATAAGTAGATGCTTTACTCTCACGGAGGATCTATGCCACTGGTTTCTAGGTAACGATTCCGCAGGCTTTATTTCCCGAGCTGCACCCCTAATTAGGGGGGGTACTGGTAGCAGTTTAAAATCGTTAAATAGTGTCGTGATTGAAAACCAACACGCTAAGCCAGCACCTCCCAAAGATTAAGTTACACTTTTGCTCAACACGGAGTTCGCCAAGCGCTACATGGTCTCTAACTCCTAAGTTTTAACCTCTAGAGGCCTAAGCTACGCACGCCGAACCGGCCCGTGCAAAAAAAACGGTCACCTGCCACTCACTGACACCGATGCCGGAAGCTTTACACGCTTAAACCCTGTAGCAGACCGCTTCAAAAAATCGCATGAGGCTTAGTAGGAGTCGACGGGGCATGGACACAGGTAGAGTAATTAGGAAGCAGTTTTGACAAATGCTAGAGTGATGATATTTTCCGTTTTTAGGTTCATTAGAGCAACTCGCCTTGCGGTTGTTAGCTTCGCGGTCGTCGAGGAAAGCGGCGAGTAGGGCGGCGGCGGCGGCACGTGAGACCAGCTCGGCGCCCGCGTCGCCGAGGCCGCGGGCGGCGCGGAGCCACCCCGACAGTCCTACGCCCGCATCGCCCGCCCCGCGCTCGGCACCCCGTCGACAGCGGTACTCTTCCGCTTCACCTATAAGGTTGGTTTCAAGCGAATCCGCGACGCCTGGCATGGTTCTTTATATGTTTATATGAGTCTTTAGCACTATCTTTTAATATTAAAAGTAAAAAAAATATTTTTGTCTTATAGGCAACTACTGAACTCGCCACTCCTAAATCGAAGAAGAAACAAGAAGCCGTCCGAGAGTTCTGACGACGAATACTCCACAGGTGGAGGCTATAGCGAGGTCAACGGCCGGAATTACAGAGATCTCGAGAGCTTCCAGAAAGCACAACTTAGAAATAAGGTAATTCTTAATAATAATAACAATAATTTCACACATCTCACACACGGCCGTCTGATCCCAAACTAGGCAGAGCCTGTACTATGGTAATCAGACTGCTGATAAACATACTTATATATTTCTAAATACATAGATAATATAGATAAATTACACCCAGACACAGAACAAATGATCGTGCTCATCACACAATTATTTGTCCTGAGTAGGAATCGAACCCACGACCTCCGGCTTAGCAGTCAGGGTCACTAACCACTAGACCAACAGGCCCGTCTTGTTCTAATAATCTTACAAGAAACTACTTGTATTAAAATCAACGCAAAATACTGAGTAAAAAAAAAACTTGCAAAGTAGTGATATTATGCTTTCCACGATGAGCACCATTTATGTGGGATTTGTGACAAAAACACCTCTCAACATACGAGTAACGGCTTATTCGTTCTTTTGTTGCTGAGCTAGTATTGGCCCAAGCTTAAGCTTTCACTTCTATACAGGTTCTATACATACATACAGGTTTCAAGAAAAGGTACCTAATTTAACATTTAACATGAATAATTCTTTAGATGCCTTAAGAATTGCTGGACAAAGACCATTTACAACGGTGAATTTAATTAGACCCAGTCGCTGTCTATCCCATCCCGTAATGGACTCTGCTGGGACTCCAAGTCTTTTAAAAAACATGTAATAGTTTTACAGTCTGTATGTGACAGTATGAAGAATATTTGATGTATTCGGTGATTAAGCTAAGGTTACTTAGCTTCATTACATAACAATAAATCGATAAAGACAAATAACACACACTTCTACAAAAAAGTATGAATCAGTGCCAAACTAATGGTTCTTGGAAGTTGTTTAACAATAGGAATTCAATCTTTTTAATCGTCTGAATATGCTAAAGTTCCCTACCCTTATGTAGCATCCAATAACCATACATTTTTTTTAGCTAAAGCGTGCTGGCGGCAACTTGAGTGCAGCAACCTCTTCAAATAGTAACAACGATAATCGCAGCAGTAGCTCCCGGCGTCAGCTAGTCATGCACAACAAGGCGCCTATGTGGAATGAAAACAGCCAAGTCTATCAACTTGACTTCGGAGGCCGAGTCACACAAGAGTCCGCCAAAAACTTCCAAATTGAATATCATGGGAAACAGGTATGCAGTCATTAATTTAAACATCATCATCATCAACCTATCGCAGTCCACTGCTGGACATAGGCTCTCCCATTGCTCGCCACTTAGATGGATTAAACATCAATCCTTACAAAAAAGCTAATCTATGAATTTAAATAAAATATATAAGACGGGGGATTGGCACAAACAATTTTGGCACAACCAAAATCAGAAGTGGCAAAAACATTAGTCAATTAGTTTACTTTATTGATTAGTATTTCTCTTCTCTTGTTAGTTTTAAGAATGTGTTGAAGGTAGATAGCATAAGGCACGATGGGGTTGACGTATTCATGTGGATAAAAACCCTATCACAAAAAAAAAGAAGGAATAAGAAAACTTTCATGACAATAAACTTCAAATTTACATTAAAATATTACTAATCTAGGTAGATTAGTAACATTTTAATATAGATCTACATTATATTACTCTCGGATCCACTGCTTCCTTGTAAGAAAAAAGTCCTCGCTAGCGGCCAACGAACACAGTTATGGATAGTGAGTAATCTGCTCCAACCACAAACCTGGACCACCTTTCACCGCTGCGACAGTAGCGAGATTGTATCTTAGTATGTTATATTCTTGCCATCATCGTAGCGGTGCGGTGGAAGGCTAATTCCGTTATCTGATGGTCCATTGAATTTATACAACTACCCAAGAATCATAGTGCGGAAAACAGCAAAGATATTCGCTCATTCCGTAATAGACTACAATATCCAGATAACAATAGGTGTAGTACCTAAACCTCCTTTCTAAGGAGAGGCCTATGTCCAGCAGTGGACTATTAAAGGCTGTTAATGTGATGATGTGATGATGTAGTACCTATTATTTTTTGGATATTGCAGTCTATTTATATTTTTTGTTTCGGGTTGCAGGGACGCATAGACACCAACACAGCTGAAGCAAATGACAGTACAAATATAATTAAAAAGTTATATTTTCAGGTAATGCAGTTCGGCCGAATCGATGGCAACGCTTACACATTGGACTTCCAGTATCCATTCTCTGCACTGCAGGCATTTGCTGTAGCCCTCGCTAACGTTACACAACGCCTAAAGTAAACTTTCCATCCTTTAAGTCATTGACGACAGAGCGCGAGGTTATATAGCCAATTTACGATGCCGATGCCGATACTATACTGCCGTATTATACATTTCTATTTATAAAATCAATCATCAATTAAAATTACTGTGTTTACCAGCCTTCTTGCACATTCTCATATTTCACTTAGAATTATGTAAACTTATTATAACTTTAACACACAGATGTACAATTATTGAACTGGTTGCCTTTTGTTTACCTACATGTGTTCATGTAGCTTAACGCTGTTTTTAATAATACGGATCCTTTTAAAAAGGCAATTAAATCGATTATCGCAATTTTTTTCATATCTATTATTAGAATTTCCCACGATATTAAGATAGGATCTGGAAGAGTTTTAATATAGAGACAAATATACATCAAGCCTACATTTTGAAGTAACCCGAGTCTGTCTTGTTCCCGGTGAGGTCTGGATAACTGACATCTGACTATTTCTACTTAAATAATTAAGTAGAAATAGTAGATCCGCAAATGCAAACAATTTCGGGGCTTGCTTCCTACAACTAGATGAATTATAAATATAAATAATAATCTAATTGGAGGCAATAGTATCTTTACCTGTACTTTCTTTTATTGCACAACAAATTTTACAAAATAAGTGTACCTAATAGGTTTCAAATTACTGCAGAATGAGATCTCACAGCCACACACAACCTTCTCGAAAAAGAAATCGTAATTGCCTAATGAATATTTAAGGTACTTTTTGTAGATGCTAAGAAATTAAATTTACTTTTTTATTCTGCAAATGGGTTACAAGAACACTGTTACCACTCAAACTTTTTTTAGAGCAGATGAGTTCGGCCTTTTCTAACTGGACTAGGCCTTTTCTTTTTCTTCAGACAATTGTTTTCAAGTGCTGTATTTGCATACAGTACAAAATATTATTAAACTGCATGAAATTAACAATTTAATAGTTTAATAGTTACCAGTTTACCGACAAGTTTAAAGATTTTTTTAACAATCATGGTTGGGAGAGATACTTTTTTGTCATTACGGGTCAATACCCGTAATGACAAAAAAGTATCTAGTAGGTAGGTATAGAAGTAGTATCCAGTAGGCGTTATGGCTACTGGCAATAAGTCTTCTTCATAACCGACAGAGGTATGAATGATTTCACGTTAAACAGAATAACATAAATGTACCTACATAATATTTGTTGGAAATCGAACTTTAAAATTTTACTTATATATGTATAATGGTATAATGATTACAAAAAACAAAAACAGTGGCCATTTATGACTTTCCGGACCGTCAAAACTGTATATTACTGGATACGTATACAAATACGAATTATTACCGTCTAGATCTATATATAAGGATACGTTGGTATATGATTTTTCAGTTAATACCAGTCACGTGGCCTTGAAACGACAGTCAACGTTGAGGACTTAATAAAAGGAATGATTAGATTTGTATTGAACTGTTTCAGAAGATATTGTATGTAAAGTTGGTTTTACTCCTAAAAATTACTAATTCGTACTTTAAGCAGTATTCTACGGCATCGTTGTTAGCGGCTGTCCATCATTGCGGAGCATAAGCTTATCTACACATTTGCGTCTTAGTTTAAGCATTTTAATCAGAGAACTAGCCCATCCATAATTTTATACACAAGCGTAGATAGGATAGCTTTGTAAAGTTTCAAATTCACTTTCTAAATGCCAAGAATTAAAAAGAAATCGGAGTTATTAAAACAAAATGAGAATAGTGTCTTAAATCACTGCGGATACGAATATGAAACAATATTTTTAGTAACAATATTAAATATTTTCATAATAGAGAATAATGTAGCAACTCGTATGGGTTTAATCGAGTCAGGTGACTTAGACCCAAACCCGATTAGAAAAATAAAACATAGGCGTAATGATGAACTTATAATGTACTGTTTCACTCTTAGAGTTGAAGTTCATAGGCTTTACCGAAAACATCTCTATCTAGCATTGTTGTTCATAGTTGCAAAATAACGTTACAATCGTTACATATTTTCGACAAGTGTCTTTAAAATCTTTGCCTTCGACAATTCAACTCTACATGTTAGTAGGTATGTTGTTAATTCATCATTATTAAGACTCATCAATTTATTATGGACGGTAGAGGTAAGGATAAACCTCAGTGATGAACTGAAGAAAGAGAAGAAGTTCCCAAAATCAGTCGCCTTATATTAACGTTGTTATGACAGTAGAGGAACCTCGTGTAGTATAGAGGAATAGAAGCAAGTTACTGGCTATTGTCTCTGCCAAAGTTGAAGCGAAAAAGACGTGAGTTTGTATATTCATATCTGTAGATAGGGAGGTCCCGTACGGGTTTTTTTCACCCAGATATGGTCCCTCTTTACCGCTACCGCCAAGATAAATTGTGATGATCAGGCCGTCGTTAGTGGGAGCTGGGCGACAATGTATTGGGCCTATAGTTTGTAGTTACCACACGTCTAGATGTTGTTGGTTATTTCTCTCAAAAAGTGGTCCTTTTCATATATTATTTATATTTTATACATGATTACAATTACTATTGACTAATATTTTCTTTTTTGGATATATATTTCAATTTACTACAATGTTATTGAATATTTTTTAGTATATAATTTACATATTATTATTAAGCATACGGCCTAGGTATGTCACGAATTTTATAATCAATTTAATCCCATGTGATCCTATTTCATTAAAACTTGTACCTAATTATTTAGTGAATTGTTCGAGCTAGATGCGCGCCCTGCCTAGGTCCGTGCGTTGTACTTGTGTGTTTCTCTTTAAAATAAATTGTTGTCATTATAAAATTTACTTATTGCATTGAAAACATATTGTTCTGAATGTTTTATTAATATCTGTTTAACTAAGTGAAAATGAACTGATATTATTGAGTCGGCGTACCCGTCATAGTTACATTAAAATATCAAATTATTAAATAAGTGCATACCTAGCAGTGTTATATTTAAGGTAATAATTTTAATTGTACTTATTTTTACGTTTATCAAAATTGACATATCTATGGTTAATTAATAGATTACCTAATAGAAATGTTATTTTCACTGATTCATTTGAAGACTGCACATCGTAAATATATTTTAATAACTAATTAACTATATTAGCTGCCTCCCAAAAGCGGCGCATGCTTGACACTCTGTGGCTTTATGCAGATAGGTATATATTTTATAGTAGACCAAAGCCTCCTTTCTAAGGAGAGGCCTGTTGATGATGATGATGTAATATGATTTTTTAAGGAGATCGAGGAATATTATTGTTATGTGGGATCGTCATATTGATAGAGTAAAATACCTTATTTATTTTCTAACAACCAATATAATATATAAATGAATTAAATTTCAAATGTATAAAATGTTTCTAAGCTTTCATTTATTTTTTATTTTTAGTGAAGACTATTCTGACTTTTTAAATATTCAGATGTCAGATTACATTATTTTTCATTAGAGTGTACTGCATCGAATTTCACTCTAACGCATCAAATTATGTGTCAATACTTACGTGCGTCGAAAGTGTTTATCAATGATATATCTTGAGTACAGAGTGGTATGGTTAAAATTCCAGTAATATGTGGACAATGCAAATCGTATAGTGTAGTATACGCAGCAGTTGGTTGGCAGTGTTATTATGAAACTAATTTAATAAACATAATGTTAGTATATTACTTAAGGCGAGTTGAATTTGTTTTTGTTGCTCAAGAATTACTTTAGAAGTTTGAATGTTGTAATGTTGCATGATTAAATACATAGGCATGAAGGGACATGCATTATTATCCTTTTATGTTGCAAATAATTGAAATGATAAAACGGTTAGTAAATACTGCGATTTTGTTATAAATATAGTATTGTTTTAATCGCATTTGTGAAGTTCATTATGTTAAAAGGCACGACGTATTAACACGCGTCTCGCTGTATTATTGCGTTATAATTATTGTTGTCTCATTGCTTTTTCTTTAATATATCACTTGTCCATTGTACATACCTACTTTAGTGACAAAGTGTAAATAAAATATTCTCCAAATAAATATGCTGGTTTTATTAAACAATAATTCATTAACTGTATAAATCACTTATTCTGTTATCCCGCGGGCCTAGAAGGCGTTTATTCAGTCATGTTCTCTGCCCCATAGGGGGGGGGGGGCGACAAACTTTTTGCTAATCACTATCACTGCCACTTTTTCCTGGAACATAATCTTTATCGTCTTCGTCTGATATTTCAAGGTCATCCAAATCTTGAAATAGAGACTCGTCTACTTTAACTGCATCTCCTGCAAATGAAAGATAAGAAATACATAACTAATATAGTATAATGCTGATTATAATAGACATTTTTAGCATTAACTATTACATTACACATTCATACTTCTTTTTTACAGTTAAAATATTTTTAATTTTAGATCAGAGATTCACTGAAGATGAATTACACATCCTCTAAGAATTGACATTTTCTCTTGAATTTAGTCTCTAAGGAGTCAGTTCAGAGTTCAGAGTCATGGCATGTTTAAAGTAATCTTTTCCAAGCTATAGGCAACGAGGCTCTTAAGGACAGTTCCTTGTCTTAGCATTTAAAATCATTAACCAGTGTTGCTTTTGATATTTTGATGTGAAACCTTTATTGCGGTGGATCAGACCGGCTGTTGGTGTGGTGACGCGTTACCACCGATGTGTTGCTACGCTATGTAATGGAATATTGTTTGTAACATGTAATAATGCGCAAGTGACTATGTGACTCTCTCACGCTGATTAATCAAAGCGATTTTATACTAATTATTAATACAATTTTTTTTATTAAATTAAATTACTAATTTAGCTGTTTGTGGCAAACGTCCTGCAAAGGCTCAATTTTATTGAAAAACTTCGATCACAGTTATTTAGCTTTCTTACCTTTGATAACTGATTTAACACTAAAAAAAAAACACTTACCATCATCCAGGAATTTCAAATCAGATTCATTGAGAGTGGTGTCTCTCAGGAAGAGTTCCCTGCCAGTCAATTTGTTCTTATCTTTAGCTTCTCTCTCTTTTTTAGCTGGCATACCCATTTCTATTTCAAACTGCTTTCTCCATGCCAGGAAAGATTCAACTGTGACTCTAGTACCCTCAAACCGTTTCTGAAAATCAAATAATCAGTAGTATATCGATTCTAAACAAGATATATAAAAACAAGTCTCTAGCTTTAGTTTCTCTTATATGGTATATATTATTTACAGATTTGTTTTCAGACTGAACCAGTCGAGTGTAAAATGTAATGACATCTTCTGAGACACACAGGGCCCACCCATGGGACTGTTGTTAAATTAGTAATTACAGCACCATAAGTACCAGATTTAATAATAATGACTGACGAGAACAAACACCAACAGCTAATTCCTAAATACGGGAAAAAAAATGTTAAACAAGCAGTAGTATAATAATCATAAAATACAATAAAAATTTAATGAAGTAACTGTACTAATCAATTTAATAAATTTTAAATGATAACTTCTATAGAATTTTAATTTTTAGTGATTAACAAAGTACAAAACAGTAGGCAAAAACCTAGTATCAATAGTAGTTATGCTTGATTGTAAAACACAGACTATGGATCATGCAAGCTATCTGTAACTTTATTTAAGTTATTGGAATCTGCTGTAAGGGTATTTGGGCTTCTTACAGTAAAGATTTAACACTTGTACAACTCATACGGCTATATTATATTAAGTATTCATTTAATAGATGATTATAAAATTTGTTTTATATTTACCTGTTCAGCTTCCTCTTCGGCTTTCTTTTTTGCATATATTTGTTCCTCTCTTTCTTTTTTGATGCTGTCCCATTTTTCATTAAGCCACTCTTGTCCAGCTGACACTAACGTGAATACCATGACCATTCCTAGGTTTTCTTTTCCCTGAAATTATTGTATTTGTATATAAAATTCTTTGCCCATGTCTAACAAAATCTAAATAAATTACATTAGTTTCAACTGACAAAGTTCACCATAGATATAAAGAAATAGTTTTAGTTATGCATATTAAGCTACCAGGTTTAATTAATCCAAATATTGCTTTACCGGTTAAGCTAGTTATGGTATTCTTTGAAGAAGTAAGTTAGTGAACTTACTCAGTCAGTAACTTACTCAGTAAAACAATGTTTGGTTTGTAGTGGAACTAAGAAATCCTTGATCTCAATGTCTCCTTTTTAATAAGATCTACCATGACTTGGTAAAAGTGGATGTCATACACCTATTTCTCAAAAGGAAATGTGAAAAGTACTGATGTTTGAACTAAATTATATGAAGGTTTATGTCCAGCAGTGGACTATGAAAGGCTGTTGATGTGATATAAAATATCATGATACAAAAATTTCTGTACCTGTTCTATTAAATGTGTTAGTAAAGCATCCTTATCAACTACATCATCAAAATTTTCTTCATTTTCTATTTCTATAACTGGCGTTTCGTCAGGATATTTAGCTGTATATGTGAAGACTAGCTGACATGCAAGACCATCTCCATCATCGAAGCCTTCAGACTTTATGGGTATGCTAAATTTGTGGAAAGGTTCTGTTGCAATCACTGCAAAACAATATAAGTTTACACATATAGGTCAAAACAAGAATAAAATTATAAGCATTGGTATACATTCGCCGGCAATTTCTGTATTGAGTACTAGACTTGATAATTAAACTTGTTTTCTTACATTTAAGCATTAATTGTATTGAATATGTTATTCTTGTGTTTACTTACTTTGCATGTCCCCATAATAAATGGAATCTAAAGCTTCGACCTCGCTCGTCTGCTCATAATGGTAGTCCATAATTATAGCTTAAATTTTATTTAAAAATCACACGTTATCATGTAGCCCACAGACACATTGTTATGTGTGCTGAAGTTGTCAAATGTCATTGTCTTCAAAATAAGTGTTACCAGATGTTACAGTGAAAAAAAAGGTGAATGTTTCATAAAAAACTTATTAAATTGAAGAGACTATGTGAACCTGGCTCTTACCTTTTCGATATCTAGGAATATTTCCGATATTCAATATAAATATTTATATTTATTTACAAGGTCTGTCGGAAGTAATGGATATAACCCGTTAATTTGTCAATCATGGAAGGTGTTTCATAAATTTTCTCGAATTCATTAGTACGTGTGCTCGCTCGCTGTAGTCCTAATTAGGACCCTCCCGTTTTTTGCGTTGGTGGCATCGGTGTGTTGTTGTTGTTGCCTCTTGTTAGTATTTAATATCATTGACTTTAATAGACTAAGATAAAACAGAAGATTTTGCATAACAGACATCGCGAAAGAAATCATTGTCGTAATCGTACCCGATTAAAACCATCCATTCAAGCCCGCTTATCTAATTAATACCTATATTTTTATCTGTCTATGTATCTATCTATTTATTTCGTTTTGCTGTACACTGTCCCCGGGCACACAAGAATTTGGGGCCCCCAAATTCTTGTGTGCCCGGGGGCCCCGACATAGACTAAAACGACCTTGCTGCGTTGTTCCGCAGGGTTCTGTGTTAGGGCCGATCCTGTGGAATATCGGCTACGACTGGGTGCTTGGCGGTGCCTCCCTTGATGGTGTCGCCGGCACGTGCTCATGACGGCGTGCGGTAAGGCGCACCATTATAATCCGGTGGCGTGGTCTCGATGTGTCCCTGCACAAATATCAGGCTTTGTTCTATCATGAGCCTCGGAGGCGGCTGAGGGATCCAGCTTAGTTGGGCACAATCGCATCGACATCGAACCCTCGATGAGTTATTTGGAGCTCGGACTGTCTGTCGTATATAATAATATAGTATGGAGGGAGCCGATGAGATGCTTGCCTAGATACTGAATCGTATACCTCGATACGCTCTTGATAATGAATCCGCCTCTGGCTGTATTGCAGCATTTAGCCTCAAATTCCAAAACACTTTCTTTTCTTCATCAAGCTCCACAAACCACTAGTGTCACGTTCACTCCACTTGTTTTTGTTGACGCCATTTTGTTTTTGTTTGTCATCATCCTAGTGCACTCGATAAATAGAACCGCGTCCGAGTACACTCTGATCGGTATCCGACGTCCGTATGCACTCGGATGGCGTGGTATCACGATAAAAGTAGCATCCGAGTAATCATCAGAGCGCACTCGGTCCGAGCCCACTAGTAACGTGAAAACTTGGCTCAAACAGGGGAAAAACATTTAGAGGCTAATCGTTGGACGCTATTATTTCCTCTGCTTTTATAGCGTTGACTGTCCATCTAGACATTTTAATTATCTAAGTTCTTAACGTTGTATAGGAGAACTTGTGTTAATGAAATAAAAAGACAATTATTACATTGAAAGCTTTTAATTAAATAGTCATGTTTTCCTTCAAAGTTGGATAAATTATTGAAGTGTTAAGCGCTAACAAATTAGCAATATTCATTAGTCTTACTACGAGTAAATAAACACGAGGTTCTGCTAAGATTTATAATTTATATTGATGAATAACTTGGGATGTAATGAGATAATTTTAATAGAATGCGAGTACTGTTAGCTTGATGCTACTCTACTCCATATTCTGATCCTTCAACTTGTCCATTTGCTGCCTGTAACAGAAAATTAATGAGATTATAGTGGAAATATCACAGTCCACCAAAAGTCCATTTTATTTACTGATAGTCTCTCAATAATTACAGTCCTCACAAATTTTGGTTGGAAACATAGTGATCAGAAGTAGCACAGACGGAAATAAGAAATGTACATATTGGGCTTGGTATAGGTTTAGTATTTCCAAGGTTTAAGAAAATATTCTACTGTCAAAGAAAGTTAGGTTCGAGGGCGTTGAGTCAATCCGAGCTACAGGTTTGCCACCTTGACCTTCTCAATCTTTTTTAACCGACTTCAAAAACACAAAGAGGAGTTCTAAATTCAACTGTATTTTTTTTGTATGTTTGTTACAGGATATCTAAATCAATTGTGCACCGATTTAAAAATTCTTATTGTAATCGAAAGGGTATACTCCCGAGGTGGTCTCATTACCACCAAGTGAGGATCGATCCGATCCCAGAGAAATCGAATGTAAACTTTTAAACTTTACGGCCCCGACAAGGTGTTTTAGCTTGCATCTTAAACTATACAGGTGTGACAACTTCCACATACAAAGAAACAGAAACTTACTACAGCAACATCTAACGAAGACATACCAAACTACGAAGTAACTGCTACTCCTGTACTCTCGTCGAGTAGCATATACACAACTTCCCAGCTTCAACCAATGGGGTCGCGGCCCGGCAGGCATGATCACCACGCTTGGTCGGAGGATCCTCCCTTTGTATTGGAGGGACATTAGACCCGTTCCTCAACACAGGTATTTGGTAGTCATTATTATATGTTATAACTACATAAATGTTATTACTTTACTATTTTAATCAATATTAAAATATTTTTATATCATTATCTTTTTAAAACAACAATATTTTATAGAAAAACCAGCTGACCCGGCAAACATTGTTTTGCCATATAAATTATTGCTAGTGGTAGTAGTAATGGTAGTTAATAATTTTGGTAGTTATATAGAAAGTAACTAACTTATTGAAAGTAGGCATGTGGGATAGGGTCTATGTCTGAAAAAGGCATTTTCTTAATTCAATGTACCTACTTTATTAACTTAACTGTCATATTTACAATAAAAATTCTAGATAGGGTCACCCTTACCACAGAGAGGTATAAAAACTGGCTTACAACCTATTCTCAGACCAACCAAATATACACAAAAAAAAACATAAAAATCGGTCAAGCCGTTTCAGAGGAGTTCCATAACAAACACTGTGACCTGAGATTTTTATATTTTAGAAGATATTGCTGGATTTGTAAAAAGGGCAAACTCTTTTATTGTATATTATAAAAAAAGTCTTACAGACTATCACTGTGGACATTTAAAAAAAAGATTTCTAAGACCTATATTAGACTTCCAGAACTTATACTTGCGGAAGGATACTGACCTCTTGGAGAGTGTACAAAGGAAAGCTACAAAAATATGTGAGAACCTATGCCGTAAAACATACCCAGAATGACTAGAAGCATTAGGTTTTACTACCCTAGATGAGAGACGCCCTGAAGGTGACCTCGTCCGAAGATCATTGCCCATCAATATAATTTACCGTATATGCACAAAATATACAAACCAAAAGTACCTACTAAGTCAGCCCGAGAACATAACATGAGAATAATTCGTTCATCAGCAAATACAAACACTGCACAGCACTTTCTCAGTAACTGGGTAGTCCATAACTGGAACCTACTACCCAAAGATGTTTTGAATGCTACCTCAGTAAATGGATTTAAAAATAGACCACTGATTACAGACTAATAAACTGTGTAATTTAAGAACAATTTAATGTAGCAACTCCTTAAATTTGTTAATACCTCATTTGGTATTACCTCAATTGCTGATTAAAATCATCTTGGATGATATCATCTTCCCAGTTATCCTCCCATACTGACACATCTTCATCCTCAGCATCGGCTTCTGGTCCCCAATCTACATCAATACAGTTATGGTTAAATATGCTTTTCTAAGATGTGTAAAAATATATTGCTGTTTCACTGTACTTACTCTCGGTGGGAAATTCTTCAAAGTCATCGTCCTCTTCGAGGAGGCCAAGATCTACCTTTTGTTTATCTGCCATCTCTAGGACTTGGGTTCCTTTCATTTAGATAAGGATAATCAAAATTTCCGATAGCAAATAGGTACAAACAACAAAATAAGAATGGAATGGATGGAAGAAACGCTTTAAGTACAAATCGTTTATGACATTTCACGTCACAAATTTGCAAGTTTCGTTTGACAAGTTGGTTTTGACAGATTGAAGTTAGGGCTCGTCCGCACAGCGATATTTCACCGCTGGGTTCGCGTGGAAATAAATCGACACCGTATCGCGTTCAAATTGCATCAAATCATAGTTTTGGCTAAAATTTCCTTTTCCGTACATCGATTTTGGGGCTGAAATTTTTTTTCAGGATATATTACACTATTATAAGCACACACGTAAAAGTTTCAACACGCGGAGACGCATAATTTTTGAACAAAAAAATATTAAAAATCAATTATTTTTGCAATTCTTCTGTCAATATTACACTCACAGAACATATATACCCCATTACACTATTATTGACAAGCTTTACCAAAGATTATATAAAATTCTCATCACGAAACGTTTCGTTTCATCTATGGTTAAGTTGTCATACGTTCCGTAACATTTTATTTTACATAAATTTACGTAAATAATTATATTTTGTACTCATTTAAATAGTTTTCATGCACACATATATTTAAGAGGTGAATGCCTTTTTACCTGCGTCCACTAAGAGTGGAAAACCTAGAGTACGCATGAGGTGGAGTAAAGAAGTGAACCTATTCATCATGCGTACGTACTACCAAATCACTAAATTAGAGACAGACATGACAACATATAGGAAACAATTACACGAACTTTTTACACGACACTATCCCGATATCAACGTTACTGAACAACGAATTGCCGATCAAAGAAGAACAATTGTTAGAAATAAACTACTAACCGAGGAAACACTACACATATTAAAAGAAGAAATACGAATGCAACTACAGCAAAATGAACACATCTACGAGTATATAGAAAATAATTCGAATCCTCAACTTCACAATACTCAATCAGTAACAACAGCATTACCTACACAGTCACAACCACACACAATCACACAATCTTCACAGATATCCACACAACCTGAGACTATAACTTTAACCCTTGAGAATGATATAGAGATTATGCAAAATGTTAACCCCTCATCAGATAAGATACAA